TGAATTCCACTGAGCCCAGAGAGCTTTGAAAAAGAGCTCTCTGTCCGCAATATCCTGCCACGGTGGTCTCTCGCCGTTACCTTCCTTGAGCCGTAGTATTGCTCCGATGTCTGGATCTTCCATTTGATCTTTCCTCAATTGTATCGTCGTCCATGGTTCGTCAGTTCTAAGCTTAAAATTCCTTATTCTGATAGTGCTTTCGCGATGTTTCATTTTCTTGTCCAAGGTAGCTCGTCGTCGATCTAGGTCGTTGTCGATAATTTGTACCCGTCCTACACGGCACCCAGCGGTTTTCTCTAGTTTCCCGAACACAGTCTTCTTGGTATCACCAGGTATCATCGCAATTTTCGATGATCTTTCTTCCATATTTCCTGGTCTCTTCTCTTTAGATACAGAAAATTCCTCATTTCCGATTTTCAGGATGTTTCTATGGTGATCAAACGAAAAACCTTGTTGACTGATCACATCCATACCCATGATAAAATCATCTTCAATGTCTGCCACTAAAACGCTATGCCGAAACTTCAAATTCCCCTAACTCCAATTCCATGAAAGCCTCTCCCCGTACAACGGCCATTTCCCCGTAACTGTACGTAAATATATACTCTTCTTCTAAGAGGCATCATCTTCAATCCTTGCACTGAGTTAGTCCGCACCAACGATACCATAGCGCCTGTGTCCACAGTCATTCGAATTCTTCTACCATTGACCTTCCCGTTGATCACCAAACTGTCAGCGGTTTTTCCTAGACTCCTAACGGAAAACATCCTAGGAGCTCTGTTTTCTTCAGCCAATACTCGCTCATTAGTGTTGATTTCCTGGTGCCTATGTTCTCTCGATGGTAAACGGAATCGCATTTGGACACGGCAATCCCGTTTGATGTGGCCATTCCTGCCACATCTATAGCACCTAATATCCTGGGATCTTCTCTGGTTCTCTGTCTGGGTGTTGTTGACTCTCTTGTTCACTAGTAATTCACATAGTTTATTAAACATCTCCTCCAAACGTATGTGAGAACTCTTTGGCTGTTCCTCAACCGTTACCGAGCCTATCTTCGGTTTAGGAATGGCGCTAAATGCAACTTCTATTTCCAGCGCCCTGACGAGTACTTCGCTGCTGGTAGAAAATCGGGATATTTGCAGCGCCCTCTGCAATTCGTTGTCCCTCAGTCCGCTGATAAAGCACTGAGCAGCGAGTTCCTCCCTAAATCCTTCCGGTGCTTCTGGATATGCCAGGTGTACCAGCCGACGTAAGTCTGCTTCAAAGCTTCAAATTCCTGCAGACTCTCTCCGGACCTCTGCAGGCGTGTCTTGATCTGGGCCTGGTAAAGTTGACGTCGATGTTGGTCGCCATATCTTCTGTCCAGTGCAGCGACCAAAGTTTGGTATTCCTGCTGTTGGCCTGCAGGAATAGTTTGCAGGAGTTCCAGGGCAGGGCCACGCAGCGCGATGACAAGTGCCGCTGCTTTCTCCTGGTCAGTCCATCCATTGGCAACAGCCGCTGCTTCAAACTGGCGGTGGTACATCGTCCAGGTGGTTTGTCCATCGTAGGTCGGGGCCTTGAGGTTCGCAGTTCCATAAACGCCAGGTGTCCTTACTTGTGCCTTGGTCTTCTGTAGGTCCATCTCTAATTTTTCCATTTTCTGCTGAAGGCGTTCCTCAAGATCTTCTACGGCTTCTTGAAGGTGATTTTGCTGTTCCTGGCAACGTACTTCCAACATTACTTGTTGCTCCTTTTTCATATCCTCGAAGTTTTTGTGAAGTCGAATTTCCTGATTTTCTAAAATTTTCTGAAGCCGGTCCTGTTCTTCTTGCTTTTCTCTCTGACGTCGCTCCTCCAAACGAATTTCCAAATTATCCAACATTTTCTCAAGCCGGTCCTGTTCTTCTTGTTTATCTTGTTGTCGTTGAATTTTCAAATCTTCGAAAATGTTCTCAAGCCGGTCCTGTTCTTGTTGACGTAATTTTTCCTCTTCCTTTTCTCTTTCTAATTTCTCCATAAAATCGCCCAATAATTTGCTTACTTCCTCCATTTTCTTAGCTTGCTCCCTTGTACCAACCATAAAAATACTCTAATTCGGTCTAAAAGTCTTCCAATCCACTTAATTTCTTCTTAAAATCCTCTTGAATCGCACTTCCGACACCAATTGTTACGGATTCCGTGGGTCCACTATTTAAACTCACGATAAAATACTTAACGAATTTATTTGTTTCACTCTGTACACACAACTTATACTATTTACAACACAACTTATGCAACTACTATTACTCTAACGGTATTTCGCGGTATTTTCAAACTTCAGACTTCAGACTATCTTCAGACTTTAGACTTCAAACTTTAAAACTTGTCCAACTGTCAAAGCGCGGGCCTTATATACCCCCTGGCGGTTGTTTCTAGATTTTTCTAAAGAATTCTATAATTTTCTTTACTTTCGGGCGAATGCGCCAGGTTCCTCAATGCACGTTGCGATTTTTTTAGCAGTATGCAGTTATGCAACCAGTAATACACCTTGACAATATCATGAACTTTTACCCATCAGCCAAACCCAACTCACACCACAAGCGTTACCTCTACTAGCATATGGAAATAACTACTTCCCCAGGGACATGGAAGAAGACGAGTTTAACAAAAGTGTAAACTTTAACTAGTTTCTTTTTTACTTACCTTATTGTAACCACTAATCGTTCTTCAATAGAAATTGGTTTTCCAAAGTTGGTAGTTTTTTTCACAATACTCGTTTTAATTTTATCCAGTAGTAAATCAAATGTGTGTATACTCATTCGAAGGTACTGGAAAAACCTCTCTGGGTATTTTCGCAAATGTTTATACAAATGATGATATTCCCCGTATGCTTTTCTGTATCTATTGATGGGATGTACACCATATTTCCTTTTTTTCTTTAAAAATGGGTCTAAAAATACATCATCTTCCAAAAGAAGGGCAATTCGACGCGCTCGTGTGAGAGGCATGACGAAAACTAATTTGTAAATCGCTTTTCTGTGGACAGGTTCTCGCCCGTCGCTCGCTATATTGTCGTCCACGATATATCGCTCGAGATAAATCGCTCGCAAGCGTGCCCGCAGCCTTAGGCATACATGAGCGATATGTTTGAAAAATAATTGATGATAAATTTTTGAGTTATCGAATATAAACAAACAAGGATTCCATATTACCACCCTTTCCTCTATGGTGTATATGGACGACATCATAATATTTAGTTCAAACCTTCAAGAACACATTCAAAATCTGAGACTGGTATTTTCAAAATTAAAAACTGTCAACCTGAAGATCCAATTAGACAAGAGCGAATTTCTTAGGAAAGAAGTGAAATTTTTAGGACACGTAGTTAGAACAGCAACAAAATCGCTGCAATACAAAAATTTTCAATCCCGAAATCCCAGAGAGAAATCAAGTCATTCCTCGGATTATTAGGTTACTACCGAAAATTTATCAATAATTTTGCAAAGATCACCAAGCCATTAACCGCTTGAAAATGCTTAAAAAAGAACGAAAAAGTTACTATGACAGAAGAATATGCAAATTGCTTTAATGTATGTAAAAACGTCAATATATTTTATCCGAACCTATCCTAGCCTACCTGGATTTTACTAAACGCGATAGGTGCTATCTTATCTCAGAACAATCACCCAATAAGTTACGCCTCAAGAACACTCAACCCAGCCGAAATAAATTATTCGACTATAGAGAAAGAGCTACTAGCTATAGTCTGGGCTACGAAATATTTTAGACCATACCTATTCGGAATAAGTTCATCACATTCACCGACAATCGACCATTACAGTGGTTAACGTCGCTAAAAGAACCAAATTCACCTTTGGTAAGGTGGATACAAATCAGTTTGACTATAAGATCCATAATATAAGAAAGGAATATATAATCAAGCAGCAGACGCACTCTCCCGAATTCCTCCGAGTACCGATCTGAATGCTTTAGAAACATCATCGACATGTAACAATCCAGGTGATATAGACGAAACTATCGAAGAACTTATAAGACACGAAGAAAATCTACCAGACATACGTGAACTGGAGATAGAAGACTTTTTAAAACCAAAACCCAAGATCAATATAATATCGAATATTTTAATACGACGAGCAGATAAGCCAAAACAAAACGATTCAGAAGATCTAGCAACTGTTCACACAGCGGAAGAAGATCCAATATTTGGAATACCAATAACTGAACGATCGTTAAATACTTATAAACACCAAATAGTTATGACAAGTGGAGACATCGAAAATCTTCAATGTAAATTCGAAAAAGCATTCGAAAATACGCGAGTATACGTCACGATTTCAAAAAGAAGTTCAAAGGAAAACATCATAAAATTGCTAAAAGAACATATGCGCTATATTTTAAAGATCCTATTTTAGCACGTCATTTCACAATTACCCTTCAAGAACTATTTAAGAATTCTTCTTACAAAATTATACAATGTTCCAAATTTCTCACGGACGTAGAAACTTTAAATGACCAAAAAGAAAAATTAAATCTTTATCGCACTACCAAAACATCTATCTAATTCAGTCTTTTCGGTCCATCGTTGGACATAGGCCTCCCTCAATCTCTTCCACTCTTCCCTCTCTGTCGCCGTGCTCATCCATCTTGTGCCTGCATGTTTCCTCAGATCGTCCGCCCATCTCATCTGGGCGCCAATTCTTGACGGCAATAGAATAGAACAATCGTCAGGGATCGTTCTACGCTTCTACTCTATTGCCGTTCTCTTAAGATCACATTTCCGTATTCTGGAGTATAAAGGAGGGAGCATCGAACAGGGGAACGTAGCCACAGTGATGCCAAATTTCTTGACCAATCATAAAGCCGAATTTTTTGACAGTAGGAATCTGTCATGTCAATTGTCATCGGTTCGGGGTTATTTCACATGATTTTTGAAGGTTATTTATTTGGTTGTTTAATACTGTTTAGAATTTCTCGTGATTTGTGCTATTTAATTTAGTTTATTTCCCAAAGTATGAGTTATGGAGCAGGAGAGGAAAAGAATTAAGTCTAATCCAATAACACCAAGACAAAAAGAAATATTGGTAGAATTTATTTCTGCACGAAAAGAAATGTATACTGGAAAATTAACTCCAATGTATACCAGAGAAAAAATGTTAAAAAACTGGCAGGAGATAACGAATATCCTAAATTGTGTTCCGGAAGGCCCTGCCAAAGATTGGAAACAATGGAGAAAGGTAAGTCAACAGCAACACTAAGAACATAATCAAGAACATATAATATAAAATATAATTAATTAGAAAACTTCCCTGGGCAAGTATAATATAAAGAGACTATTAATAGGGTTACCGTACTAAACTGCACTCGTTTATTTTCATAAACAAACACTGTTTTCTGAGTTTTTGTTCCCCATTGTTAAAGATATTATGTGGTTAAAACACAGTACTTTTATAATGTTTATTCTCCTGTTATGCTCTTAAATATTAGTTTCATTTTCAAGTACTTATTCTTATTTTGTTCTTGTAGAGCTGGGTGGATATAAAAAAGAACACGAAATCAAGACATTCTGACCAAAAGAAATATATGGCTGGCACTGGGGGTGGTCCACCACCTTATCTTCCACCTGATGATCTTTCCGGAATCGAAGAAAAGGTTTTAAATATTATCACACCAGTTGCAATTAGTGGCAATAAAAATATTTTGGAGACAGAGGCCGTGTTTAATTTTGAGAGTGATGACATCTTTGAAAATACTGATGATGTAAACCTCGATATAAGCCATCAATCAAACACCACAGATTATATCTTGGAAGAAAATATCCCAGACTTAGAGTCTATTACCAGGAGTTATGCGAGTGAATATGCTAACACGTCTACTTCTGTAAGTAAACTTTGATCAAAGCAGTTGCGATTTTACATGGCATATTACTTGTTATAGCATATTTTGTAATTTCCATATTAAATTATAAACTGTTTTTTAGGTTAAAAGCAACAATGGCCATGATTATTGTCTTACAGAAAATCACAAGCCACAATCACCTTCAATGAAGTTTGGAGTTGATGGGGAAAAGACAAAAACTTCAAAGGTGAGTTTTAGCCGCCAAAAAAGGACTAAAATTGGCAGGCTGGAGTATTCATTAAGAAATAATGATAGATTATTGAAATTAACTGAAGAAAACAATAATTCTGAAAAAGAATACAAACAAAGAAAACTGTTGCTGTTGGAAAATGATTCATTACAGAAAAGTGGGTACTATGACCGAAAAGCTCTGGCACTTGAAACCATTGCGAATGCTCACAAACAAATTGCAATAGACATTCAAGTTATTAAAAATGCGATAACACAAAGTCAAAAGCAATAAAATAGTTTGTTATTAAGACTGTTGTAGAATTGTTTTGTTTAGTTTATTCAGAAGGATCCAGCACAGTTTACCATTACAATTAGACATATTTTACCCTTACCCAGTGCCGGGTCCTAAAGTTTATTATTTAGTTTTTAGTCTTAACTCTTTCATGTTTAGATATCCTTGATCTCATTTTTTGTGATTTTCATTTTTCATAAAACTTCATTATATGCATAGATAGGCATACTTAATACCTATGTAAATATTTCTTATGTTAATAAAGGTTTTTTTTAAAAGATTTTATTTGGTTTTAAAAAATATTTTATTGGCGGAAATGATTATCAATAATATTTTGTTGAAGAACTCTAGCTGCTACCAAATCGGGGTTTACTCTTCCAATGTTTTCAGCTGGTCCAGCAGTGGGATTTTGAATTGGGGTCAAAAGCCATGGTCTTGTTGGATATCCTAAGAAAAATTATAAGTATTGTTATATTAATTACAATTGGCATGCAATTTAAAAGCCTAAATCAGATTTTGTAGTGTGCAGCTAAGGGTTTAATTTGAAACATAAACTTTTATTAGGATTCACTATCATTCAAAATTTAGACCCTTTGCCCTGCTTAAACCCTGTCGCTAGACATATTGTATTATTATGCATAATTATTAGAATACCTGAGTCTCCAAGAAGAAAAAACACATTCTGTGGATCTCGTCTATAAATGTTCTCCATTAATGTTGAGATTTGTGAATGTCGCCATATATTGGCATCATGAGTACTTCCGGGAAATTGTGCATTTACATTCATAATTTTCAAATTGCTATCACATATCTAAAAAACAGTAAGTATATAACATACAATTAAAATCTTATTAGATGTAAATTTTACAAAATAATGGATCATTTTTATATTTGATTTGTTGACATACCAACTGAACATTTATCGAATGATAATTCTTTCGATTAACATAAATATATTCTGGAAACTCAGGATCATCTGTATGTGGAGCTACAATGCTGATATGTGTGCAGTCCACACAACCAATAACTAAAAAATTAACTATTTTTTACATACTACTATTAAAAAGCAGATGGATTTACGGATCAACCAAATATGTAACAAATGTAAACATTGTCAAAACAGCCTTTTTATTATAGTAAAGTTCCCTAGGTATATGCATTACATACATTATAGTCATTATTGCGAAACCAATAGCTTGCATACCTAGTTCGAAGAGCTTGCATTTCCTCTATGTTTCTGGGAAAATGGATCCAGTTATTCAATATTTGAGGCTGATTCATTGCATTACAAACTTCTTTGATACATCTACTCACTGATGGTTGGCTAATGCCAACATAATTGCTTGCTCCTGTAATTTCTTGATAACTTCCAGTGCCAAAGAAGCTCAAAGCTGCCAAGACCTAAATATGATAACATGCCAAAGTTACATAGGTAGTATACCTATCATGTTACAAAAAATATTTTGGTATGTAGGTTTACTTTTCTAACGCATTAATTAATTACTTTTTCTAATTTGACTACTTCTTTCATTACCTTTGTTTGCACTGTTAATGCTGATCTTCTAGGGGGTTCGTGAACGAATGGTCTTACAATATTTATTAAGTTTTCACATAGAGGTTTTGTAAGTCTAAATAACTTTATGAATTTCTCATCAGACAAATCAAAGGGATTCGACCTTCGAAGTACTTCTCTTCTTATATTGTAAAACTCTTCAGCATCTCTAACATCTTCCATAATTTCTTCCCACAACAAAAATCTTTGAAGATTATTATTATTCATTATTAAATAGTAAAATTCCACTGTGCAACATAAAATTTGTAAAGAAAGAGAATAAAGTAAGGTTATAATGCTCAAAACCGTCAAAAAAGACCTCCCTGATGGCTAATCCCTTTAATTTACCCAGTAGATGCATGAGGGAGCCGTCCTTCTATTAACGTTCAATAGAAAGACGTTCAAGAATACCATTCAGCGTCTCTTAATAGAACCACGCCCCTTTTCTCTCGGTTGTTCTGCTCCCCGGTTTTCAAGAATTGGGGCCCTGAGGTCTTCCTCTACTTCTTCTATTCTCCCAGGGCCTCCAGTTTACGATGCATTTGTTCCATCGATCATCCTTCTCAGACATTGTGACCGGAAAACTTCCATTTCAATTTTGCTACTTCACTTCCAGCTCACTCCTTTTTCTATCTGCCAGCCTTACATGTAGCATTTGTCTTTACATAGATCTTTGAAATTTTGTTACCTTATACATATTTGATTTTGTTAGTGTCCAGGTCTGGGATCCGTAAGTAAGTACAGGGAGTATACATTGATTATATACTTTGGTTGTGGGGTACTGTAGATATCTTTTGTTTTTTAATATGTAACTTAATTTTCCAAATGCTGCCCAGGCCAGTCTCACTCGTCTCTTTATTTCAGCTGTTTGGTTTTCTTTTTTCAGTTTAATCATTTGTCCTTTTCAAAATGCCAACAACTTCAACTACTTCAAATAATGAAGGCATTTTGAAAAAGCATTTAAAAGATAAAAAAAATGCTAAGACTATCACAATGTTGATCTAATAACAATTTGACGTTTATACTATTACGCGAAAAACAACTTTTTTCCAAAGCCTACCATGACTTCACTGAATCATCGTTTCTTGTTCACTATTATTAATATCTTAATTATTAGATATTAATACATCTAGGATTATGGTATTCTGGTATTTCGTCGATTTTAAAACTAACTGTTTCTATCTTATTCTTTGTTAGAATGGGCGTAATCAAGAGGGCTACTGATACTGTATTGTAAAAATTAGGTAATTAAGGGCTTATTTTTTGGTATTTATTTTAATTTTGCTAATATCTTCGGTTTAAAAGAAGATATCAAGATGCGGTTTTCGCTGACTTTTTAAGCTTTTACTACTCTTTACAATCAGCTAAAATAACACATACTATCGTATTTAATTTTTTTGAAAAAACGCGCTATGTTTGTTAAATTGTAAGAAAGCGCCCCCTAGCGTGTACTTTCAAAAACCCTATTATTATTATTTTTGTGGTATAATATAGAGTAAGAAACGCTCTTTTAAACGAGCCCTCGTTTGTTGGATTCTGATCATCCAGTCCGGAGTTATTAACATTTAAATAAAGATAGATCTAACCTTCCCCCACCACTTTATTTTAGCAGATAGGGGAAAATGGCCCTAACAAAAAAAATCCAAAATTTACTGAAGATTATGAAGTTATTATTTATAGTACTCGTTATCTAGGCAAAATTCTGTAAAAAATCTATTTTCTTATTTTCCATAGCAGTTGCGCCACCTAGCGACCGTTTTACAAACTTGAAAATAATTTCCAGCAATTTCTCATAGCCCCTTTAGTTACAAATATTTTCTTCCGTAAGCCCTACGTCTAACACTTTCCGAGATAAAGCCGAGAGCTATTCTTAGTGGGACACCCGGTACAATATCATATATTAGACATGAAAGTTTTGAGGTCTGAATTAACAGAGTTGTTTTTAAAAAACGATTTTATTGTTACAAACGTTCTCGACAAAGTACAGAGAGTGAAAAGTCTGCTTCGAACCGTGCAGTTCGCTTTTATATGTGACATAATGTAAAATAGGCATTCAGTATTTAATTACAATGAAATGACACTTATTTATACACTATACAGGGTGGTCCGAACTGTATTCCGGAAACTTCAGCAGCATATTCTGCAGACAAAAATAAGTAAAAAAGTTCTTATAAATGTATGTCCTAAAATGCTTAGCTTCGGAGATACAGGGTGTAGAAGTTTCATTTTTATTTTGATTTTTTCCAAATAATTTCTGAAGTAACATCAATGTTTGGATGAAATTTGATGTATGGGAGTTTTTTGATATGAGAAATTCGATTTTGATGTCAATATGACTCCTACTTATAGAGGGCGCCACCTACATATTTTTAACTGGTTTGAAGAGTAATAACTTTTCGTCCGTACCTGTATAAAACTACTAAGTAAAAAAATATACATTTACGACGTTTTTAACGTAAAAAAGTTCTCTTGGTAAAAATCGCTACGAGTAATAGTTCTCGAGATATTTGAAATCGAAATTATTAAAATTATTTAATTAATTAAATTATATAAACATGTTGACTAAATATTTAATAGACGGAAATCCTAAATTTGAAATGTTTTTGTGCCAAACCATTATCAATGATCATTTTTTCGAAGAAAATTTTATGATTAATTTTAAAAAATGAAAATTTTCCAAATTTATCTGTTTAGTCAAATAACTATCTACTTAACAGGTTTATTTTTTGTCAATAATGACATGTATTGACTATTCCCATTCTAAATATCTCGAGAAGGGTTGCTCGTAACGATTTTTACCAAGAGACATTTTTTACGTAAAAAACGCGAAAATGTATATTTTTTCCCTCAGCAGTTCTATACAGGTACGGACAAAAAGTTATTACTCTTCAAAACAGTTAAAACACATGTAGGTGGCGCCCTCTACAAATAGAAGTCATAATGACATCAAAATCAAATTTCTCATGTCAAAAAACTGACGGATACCAGTTTTCATCCAAATATTGATGTTACTTCAGAAATTATTTGAATAAAATCGAAATAAAAATGAAACTTCTACACCCTGTATCTCCGAAACTAAGCATTTTAGGAGATACATTTATAAGAGGTTTTTTACTTCATTTTATCTGCAGAATATGCTCCACCCTGTCGTGGTGTATGACCACCCTGTATAGAGATACAGGACTAAATTTGTTAAAGTATTTTCCAAGTGAACGATATCATCTATTAGGTGATAAGGCATACCCTATATTGGAGTGGTTAATAACACCATTTAAGTATGTAGAATAAAGCAAAATTATATATTTTTTTTATATTGTAAGTGATGTAATAATAATCTAGTTACATCTTACATTAGTGAAAATTTGTTATCACTATTGACACTACTTTAATTATTTACTCACTTAATATGCTCTCTCTTTATTAGGGATTATGGCAACTTAACAAGAACACAAAAGATTCACAATTATAAACACAGTAAAACGAGAATTCGTGTGGAGAATACATTTGGTATATGGAAGTCTAGGTGGCGAATTTTAAGGTACATCAATGTAAACTGCCCAAAAAAGGCTGCTAATATAATTGCTGCTTGCTGCGTGCTTCATAATTTCTGTTACCAAAATTATGATAAATGGAATGATGAAATAAGTGATGTCCTTGAAGACGGCAATGATAATGTGTGTGTGTGTGTGTGTGTGTGTTGAAGCATTACACATTAATAATGAAAATATTGGTATTCGCAAAAGAGAAAATATTGCTAACTCCTTTATATAAATTTTAATAAATCAATATAAATGTTAATATACATATTATTTAGTTTGAAAACTGATGAAATTAAAAATAAAGAAAAGACAAATCAAGTAAGACCATTTTAATTTTAATAAATTCAAATTTTTAAAAATATTATACAGGATGACCCATTAGTGCAAGATCAATGAGTCAATGATATCGTTGTTGTTCACAAAGATATGAAAAACAGTTCTATAAAGATATTGAATAGTTTATAATCGTGCAAAGCCTAAAAATATTTTGTAGTATACAGGGTGTCCGAAAAATGTTTGATAAAGTTTTAAGTTCTTTTTAAATTGTAGCCCCATTTTTCCGTACGTAATTGGATTCGGCATAAAATACTGCATTAGTGATGGGCAAAACTGTTATTTTTAGATAACAGTTGAAACTGTTATAGTTATTTATAAAAACCAGCTTAAAATAACAGCTTAAAAATAACAGGTTTCTTTATTTTACTGCTAAATATCTGAAAGAGTATGAGGCGGTCACCGCCAGGCGTATTAACGCAGTTGCAACAATGTCGTGCTCCGTGGTAGTATTTCCAGGGTGTCAAAACATTTCTAAATATCGATTGCTATCTAAAATCTCTCTAAAAACGGTGGTTGTTTACAAATAAGCCCTGTTTACAAATTGCGATATAAAAAAAGCCAAAATTCTGCCCCTCGATCCGCGTCGATCCTGAATTGCGAAGCAGTGTACAGGGTGCATCTCACTCGACGGGCGAGAAGCTCTTAGTTATGATTTTACCATTTGCGGTCAAAAAATAGCAATATAAGAAAATGTGTAGTATATTCTTCATAAGTAAACCAACTACACACTAGAGTTCGAATTAATTTTACACTTATACTAGCGTGTACCCGCGACGAATTAATAATTTTTAATGGTGATGATAAAGCAAAACAAGAATTTCCATTAACATACAAACTGGATAAAATTTTCTCACATTTGCCAAAAATAAGCTTTAAACGTCGAGCAGTTTAAGCAGAATCGTAGTTAATCAATTACCCAACTTTTTGGAACACCCTGTATGATTTTTTAAAAAATTTCAAAATATATAAAAAAAACAAAATAAATTATGCGTGTCCAGGCGTTTTCCCGAAAGACTAACCGTTTTTTAAACAACAAATATTGTAATATTTGGGGGGCGTTTTCTCCCTGTTGGAATTTGAAATTCGAAACACCCCTCCTTATCGAACCTAAACCCCACAGTCAATCCGTTGCCAAAAATCAGCTTTAAACGTCAAGCAGTTTAAGCAGAATAGTGATTACTCAGTGGTCATATTTTATGAAACACCCTGTATATATTTTTAAAAAATCTTAAAATATGTAAAACAACATAATAAAATATACGTGTTTTAAGAGTTTTTCCGAAAAACTCACCGGTTTTTAAATAGAAAATATTCTAATATTTGAGGGTAGTTTCACCCCCTTAGAATTCGAGTTTCGAAAAATCCCTTCTTATCGAACCTCTACACCCTAAAGTCAATCCGTTTTCCAAAAATCAGCTTTTTACATCAAGGGCTCTAAGCAGGATCGTGATTAATCAATGACCAGATTTTTCAAAACACCCTGTATACATTTTTAAAAAAATCTTAAAATATTATTCTGAAAAATTTTCAAAATATAAATACCTAAATATTGAAACTTAATAAGTAAGGACTGAAACATACAGCGCCATAATATCTCGACCTCCGCCCGTTATGCTCGTAACAGTTTGAAAAACAATGTATCTACAACAACTGATGCGTTATTCTCCAACCTGTTTCGAACCTCCATCGACAATCAACCGATGCAGCAGCGTTCCTTTCCCACTCCGATTATCTCGACCGCCGCGCGCCGCCCTGTTATGCTCGTAACAGGTTGAAAAACAACGTATCTAAAATGACTGCTTCTCCAACCCGTTGCTAGCCTCCATCGACCATCGACCGATGCAGCAGCGTTCCTTTCCCACTCCTGTTATCTCGACCGCCAGGCGTTATGCCCGCAACTGTTTCAAAAAACCTACTTCTTTTATATCCTATTATTTTTAAGCTGTTGTAAGCCCAATACGACCATCGACGGCGTCGACCGAAGCAGCAACGTTCGCCGTAGCGCATTCCCCACTCCGTTGTCCGTTGTCTCGCCGCCTGTATCGATGGTT